AATCCTGTGCTTCCGGTGCATGTGGGAATGAGAATAAATTGCACTAATCAGATAGCGCAATTAAAAGCGCCTTTGAGTAACAGACCACTCCTGGTCATCATCCTGGGGTAACCACTGGGATCATCTGGCATATGTCTGCACAACAGCTGATCATCCACTGCTACTCTCCGGATTCCAGGAAAAACTCTACTTCAAGTATATGCACCCAATATAAAAGCCCTTAAGGAATCCATCTTAATAGCGCAAAATAAATGAGCCAGAAAGAGAAGTGCTATATAGTGCAGTAAGTTTATTAATTCAATGGTAAAACATGTATTTTAACAGAAAGCACTCACATCTGGTATACAGGAATGTACAAAACAGGATCAAAGATGGCCACCGGCCTCCCTGGTGGCTCATGCGGTGTGATGTCACTGACTTGGTTCCTCCCTGGGACATCACACCGTATGAGCCACGAGGGAGGCTGGCAGCCATCTTTGTTAAAATACAAGGCATTTGCCTAGGGTGGCATTTTTCAGGCAGGCGGCGCTGCCTCCTGGCAGCAGGAACACACGGGTTGATCTGATACTCAACAAAAAAAAAAAAAAAAAAAAAAAAAAAAAAAAAAAAAAAAAGGCCTCCACAGTGCTGCTTTACTCACAGACAGTAATCAAGTATTAGTGTCCCGGCTGGCCATTTTCACTTGTCCCAATGCTGATGCTACTGCCTTAGTTGCTAGGACCGCCTGGCACCTAGCAACCAGTGACGTCACCTAATGCAGAGTAAGCCCGAAGCTCAAGCATTGAGAGTGGAGGAGGAATTTACTTCCTTCTTCTCTGCTCCTATTGGTTATCTCCGCCCTCCTCCTCCAGCATCTGCAGCGGCACTGCTCAGAGGGAAGGGATCTGGATCTGAGTCTCAACTCAGAGGTGGGATGGAACCATGTGTGTCATGACTGGGGGAGCCAGGCAGAGACCTATACAGAGAGGATGGCAGATGAGCTGACAGCAGAGGACAGATGACACCCCTGGAAGGATGGGAGGAGAAGGTCACATCCTTAGATCTCAGGGGGTCATGCTGGGACCTGTAGTCCTTCACTTTTGGGTGTTGTGACCCCCTCAAAAGTGAAGAACTACAGGTCCCAGCATGAACCCCTCAGAGCTGAGAATGTGACACCCCCCACAAACTAGTGCCGGACTACAGGTCCCAGCATGAACTCATGAGCTCTAAGGGGTCACAGCCTTAGATCTCAGGGGTTCATGCTTGGACTTGTAGTCCTTCAATTGGGGGGGGGGGGGGTCACATCCTTAGATCTCAGGGGCTCATGCTAGGACTTGTAGTCCTTCAATTTTGGGAATGTTAAATCCTCAGATCTCAGGGGTTCATGCTGGAACTTTTAGTCCTTCCATTTTTTTAGGGGGGGGGGGGGGGGTTACATCCTTAGATCTCAGGGGTTCATTCTGGGACTTTTAGTCCTTAGATTTGGGGGAGGGGGCACATTCTTAGATCTCAGGGGTTCATGCTGGGATTTCCAGTCCTTCACTAGTTGGGGAGGGGGGGTGTCACACCTTCAGCTCTGAGGGGTTCATGCTGGGACTTGTAGTCCACTAATTTTTTTTCGGGGGTTGGTCACATCTTTAGATCTCAGGGGTTCATGCTGGGACTTGTAGTCCTTCACTAGTTGGAGATTGTGGGATCACATGCCCAGCTATAAACTTTAGTTCCTGGAGGTACAAGTCCCCCAAGGACCCTGGATGGCCACACTGTTTGAAACCCACCTTTGTGATTACGGAAAACCTTAGATTACTTTCCCCGATACATCACTCTGCCACCACTGGCTCCAATTTGAATGGGGGGGGGGGCACCCAATTTGTCTTGCCTAGGGCAGCCCAAAACCAAAATACATCACTGGGTCCCCCAACAAAAGACTGTTCTTCACTCCGCCCTGATTGCAGACTTGATGAGAGGGTTCCACGACCCAAACTGTCCTCAGTTACCAGATGTCCTGTTCTTTTCTCAGTTATATCAGCGAAGCACAGTTTACCACTTGAAAACACAGACTTCTTAGCTCAATACAGTACTGAGGCCTACAGCTTCTGCGCCCCCTCCCACTGCTCTGAACGCAAGACTGCTCCTGCAGCACATGTGTCTTGGAGGATAGCAGCCCTGTTAATGCCTCATCTCCAACATATATCCGGAAATGAGCTTGCGTCAAGTTAATACCCCATCTATTGGAATATAAATTCTAGTGGAGTCCACTCCCGCCCCTTCTTCACCTGTACTGATCCTTGTCTTCATGCAAAGAGACCCTTTCTCAAACTTTGTCACCATCAGTCAGGGGAGAAAATTTTTTCCCACTACTGGGTTTCCTTACTCAACAAATTTTGCGTTCAATCAAAAAAAAAAAAAAAACAAAAACAAAACAGACCTCTACTTTAATGTGCACCAACTAGGGCCCAACAAGCACGCAGAAGAGTTGTATTCTTTTTCTTATTCTGGGGTAGTATCTAAGAGTACATTAACATTTGTATATTCATCTTCTAGTTAAACTCTATTCCCAGACAACAGAGAATCCAAAAGTTGGCTATCAAGAATTTGGGCTAACTCTACTACAGCTCATATTTGGGAAAGATATCTCAGTGTGGGGATTGGCATTTACTCGGGTCCTGCAAGACATTTTGTGTTTGATTTAAGAGGGATACGGTGTTTGATCATTTGGCTGAGCCTTGCAGAGCATCCAGCAGCTGTACACAATTACTATTGTTTCTTTTGTGTTTGCACCATTTCTTTGATCTCAATACAATCAAAATATTGGTTCACCTTAAACTGTGTAATTACTTTGTGTTCCAGGGCCAAGGAATTCTCCTGAATGGTTTTATGGTGGTGTCAGCAGGAGTGGCATTTCCAAATCAGGCTCAGAACAGACAGGGAACCCAAAAATACAAAAACACAGCGCATGTGAATGAAACCCTACTTGATTATAGTATACCAGGGGATTGTTAGCTGGTTGTGATCAATTGCTGATACTTTGTAACATGTACTGTAGCCAAAGTGTAAGTGTCCACACAGTTGTGTCATTCAATTTACAATACAGAGAAATTGTTAGGACAACTTTTTTGGACTGTCCAACCGGCAGCTGTGCTAGCAAGCTTTGTAAGCGCAAAATGTTTGTGTGCAGAGTGCCAACTGTTACTGAGATATTGTTAACGTGTTGAAGGTGTCATCCATTTCACTTTACTAATAATGACAGCAGACAAAAATAGTTTATTTCATAACACAATATAGAGGGCAAAAATTACAGCATCCAAAATGGATATTTTCAGTTTAGAAAGTCAAATGAATTAAAACATTTTTTTTTCTGGTTAGTTGTTATAGGCTACAACCAGCATTGTTCTTCATCCCCTATGGACCTCTATTAACTACATGCCGCCCAGCCACTGTATATATACAGCGGCAGGGCGGCACTCGCAAGCAAAACCACGTTTTAAAACGTGTGTTTTGTAAACAAATAGGGGGTGCGCGCGAGGCACGCCGCCGCCCTATCTGTCCCGTGGATCACCGCTTCAGATGTCAGTCGCTGGGTCACAGCAGCTCCTTAGCTGCTATGTCCCGGCGATCGGCGGCAAACCGTGACAGAGAGCACAGCTGCAGTAGCTGTGCTCTGTCACTTCCCTGTCAGCTCGAGGATGAGCTGATCGAGAAAGAACAGTTTCTCTTTCTCGATCAGCCTTGTCCCGTGCAGTACACACCCCCGCCCCCTAGTAAAACACTCCCCTCACTCCTATAACCCTTCCCTGCAAAATAAAGTTAACCCCTTCCTCCCCATTGCCATTAGTACAATGTCAGTGTTTTTTTTTTGCACTGATCACTGTATTAGTGTTTTTGGGGATGTCAGTGACCCCAAGTCAGTACCCCCCAATGTCAGAATGTCCGTCGCAGTCCCGCCATAAGTCCCTGATCGCCGCCATTATTAGTATAAAAAAAAAAAAAAAAAAAAAAAAAAAAAAAAAAAAACTAAAAATCCCAGTATCTTTCCCGCCATTTGTAAACGCTATAACTTTCACGTAAACCAATTAATTTACACGTATTGGTTTTTTTTTTTTTTAGCAAAGACATGTCGCAGAATTCATTTTGGCAGAAATTTATGACTAAATTTGATTTTTGCATTTTTTTTTTTACTTGACATGTTTTATAGCAAAAAGTCCAAAATATTGTTTTTTTTCCCTCAAAATTGTCAGCCTTTTTTTTTTTTTTAATAGCGCAAAAAATTAAAACCGCACAGGCGATCAAATACCACTGAAAGAAAGCTCAATTTGTGGGGAAAAAAGGATGTAAATTTCATTTATGTACCGTATTGCATGACCGCGCAATTGTCCGTTAAACTAGCGCAGCGCTGTATAGCAGAAAAATGGCGTAAATTGCAGTATCTACACCATAGTTTGTAGACGCTATAACTTCCACACAAAGCAATCAATATACACTTATTGGGATTTTTTTTACCAAAAACATGGAGCAGAATACATTTTGGCCTAAATTTTTAACCAACTTTGAGTTTACTATATATTTTTTATAGCTGAAAGTAAAAAATATTGTTTTTCTTCAAAATTTTTGGCCTTTTTTTGTTTATAGCGGGAAAAATAAAAAGCGCACAGGTGATCAAATTACACCGAAAGAAAGCTCTATTTGTGTGAAAAAAAGGACGTAAATTTCGTTTGGGTGCAGCATTGCATGACCACGCAATTATCAGTTGAGTTAGTGCAGCGCCGAGTAGCAAAAAGAGTCCTGGTCATTAAGGGGGGTAAATCCTCAGGAGCTCAAGTGGTTAATTACCTTCTATTAAACTACAAGACGTGAAAACATTCATTCCAATGAACACATGCCTAATGTCCTAGATTGTAAAAAAATAGTAAAGAGTGAACCCCCTTATTGTGAGTAAGCTGCTATGTCCCACACTAAATAGGTACCACCTTTCTGGCCTATATAAATACTGACAATAATATTAATAATGTCAAGAAAGTGCAGCGCTAGTGAGCAATTTGGGAATTCAAGTGCTACAAAAACTAAATCACTGGCATTGATAAATGGATGCCAGTCCACAGTGGATACACATAAATCCTGGAGGTGACTCTGTTATTCGTTGAGGAGGCTTGTGTGTTTAAAATGAGCGCACTCTTAGGAGGAGCCTCCAAAAGACATTGACGTTGGCCCACATTCAAAACGTGGAGCTCCGGCGGATACTCTGGAAACTTACCGCCCTGGTCAGTTAGGGGGCCACAGGAGATGCCCCTATTGTCTGCAACGTTTTTTGTATAGGCTTTTTTGAGTTTTGAGGTTAAAACCTACTACACTATGCCTGGAGTGTTCTTGCTGCCCCCTGGGGGAGTGCTTTAGTCCGCATTGTTAACTCCTCAAGGGCAGGGGACCCACTACAGGAAAGATTGCATCCATTATCCAGATAGAACCAGTAAGGACGGTTCCTACAGGTTCCACCCCCAGTGGAGTAGAACAACCCATTAGGACCCCGAGAAAGCAGGAATCGCAATGTCACCTGACAGCAGGATTTTATACCCAATGCGCATTTAAAATGCGCGTCCGATTTTGAGTCTGCATTTTAAACCACCTTGTCACGAATAAGAGAGTGCACCTCTATTTTTATGTGTATACCACGGGACTATCACATTTCAAATCACATCCAGTGACTTACCACTAGTTTATGTACACTTGAATTCACTATTGCACTCCTCCTATCATGCTGCACTTTCTTTATGTCTAATGTCCTAGATTGTAAGCTCGAAAGAGCAGAGCCCTCGAACCCCTCGTGTATTGTTTTGTTACTGTATTGTCTCATGTTCTGTCCCCCACTATAATGAACAGCTGCTGAGCAAACCTTTCTGGCGCTATATAAATACTGTATAATAATATTAATAATGTCAAGCTGAAAATTTACAGACACTCCTAAACTTTGGGCATCTATGCTAAAAACCCAAATCCAGGCATTAAAAACTTGCCAGCACAGTGGCTTACTGGAGTCACTTAAAGAGGTTGTCATTCTGAATCCTGGCCAGGACACCATCTGCGTTGAGTTTGCATGTTGCCTCTGTGCTTGTGTCTGTTTCCTCAGAGCACACTAGTTTTCTCGCAAACTCCAAAAGACATTTGGTAGATTAATTGGCCCACATTCAAAATTGTCTCTAGTGCAGGGGCGGACCTGACCATTTGGAAACTCAGGCACCGCCCGAGGGCCCGGGGTCAGTAGGGGGGCCCCAGGAGATGCCCCATGTACCTTTTTCATAGGCTTTTTTTGAGTTTGGGCAAGGACACAGGGACCCCATGAGCCCCTATTGCCTGGGGGCCCCATGAGTTGTCAGTCCACCCCTGTTCTAGTGTATGTATGCATGCAGGATAAGAACCTATTATATTGTTAACTCCTCAAGGGCAGGGGCTGAAATACAATACTGCATAAAATATCAGTGCTATAGAATGCAATAAATTACAACAGTTCATTCCAGTTCACACTGGACACACAGATGCGATCTGAAAAGCATAGAGTCGCATGTCATCGTCATCTGAAAACACATTGTTTGCTATGAAAGCGGTTTACATCAATGTCGTGCGATTTTGATCTGTTTAAAAGAAGGGTCTTGTGCAAATTTAGTGTGAGAGCAGTGCACATTTTTTATCTCCAGCTATACCCAGTCCCCTCAGAAATCACAATAAATTCACATCTGTCAAAACACAAATCGCACTGTGAAATCGCATCAATTCATACCGCATTAGTGTGAACCTAGCATTACACTGTACGTTTAGTTGGCACAAACCTCCTATCATGCTGGCTTTTATTCTACAACTGTCAAATCTGCCCGCTTGGATGTAATCAAAAGGTGTTTTGTGAATGGCCAGATTTGACAGCTGTATTATAGCCAACATGGCAGGTGGTTTCTTTTCCGCCAAAGGAATGTATAACTGGTGCGATTTTTGAGTTGAAATTTAAAAAAAAAGAAAAAAATATAAAAAAAAAAAAAAACCCACACACCACAAGTACACTCCGGATCCTGCACCTGTAATGACCTGTCCTTACCTGGACCTAAGACTACACCAACACCTTACACAGTTTAAATCGGATTTACTTAAAGAGGTTGTAAACCTCAGATATGAACAAAGCATATCTCCCTATAGTGTGTACTTGTAGCAATTTTATAGCACGAAAGGTCATGTCTGTCTACTGCTTCAGTCCTCTGCCATCAGCATGAATCACTTCTGACAAGTTTTCCTGACACCAACAGAAAAATGGTGACAGGGGAGGGACCTCCACCAGATTGACAGCCTCAGTTCTGTTCCTGTAAACTGTGTGGAAGGGGGGGGGGGGGGGGGGGGGTATGGGGGTGTTGTCTCCCTTCCTTCCAAATCAGCTCTCCTCGCTGAGCTCTGCAGCGAGTAACTTCAGCTCTTCTCCCCCTTTATTTGATAGCTCAGCAAGCTTTAGAAATTCAACACTTTGTACAGATGTAGAGAAGAGAAGACTGCAGATAGGCAGGAACAACCTATGTAGGAGGCTATGTTTCATCTTGTGTATCACCTGAAGCCAGTCACTTCACTAGGTATTCTGTATATAAGGGTTTACAACCACTTTAACCACCTCCCGCCCGCCATATAGTAATATGACAGACGCAAGGTGGTGCTCTCGTTCTGGGACGTCATACGACGTCCTCCCATTTTACCTGCGCATGCGCGGCTACCGGAGTGCGGCGATCGGCAGTGCGCTGTGTCCCTCGGACACAGTGGATCACCGATCCACGGCAAAAAAGCCGAAGATGTTGGCTCGGTCATGTGATCAGCTGTGTCCAATCGTTGTATACAATGGATAGCTTCATTCATGCCATCCATTGTATACTAGTGTCTAGCTGTGAATGGTCACAGCTAATCACATGCACATGTCATGTGATTAGCTGTGGCCAAATCACAGCTAAGCACAAAAAACCCCCAAATGAATCGATGTCATTCAGGTAAATGCTTGCTTAAAGCAAAGTAATTCTTTGCTATAAGCAAATTGTGTAAAAAAAAAAAAAAAAATACTGATCACTTCCCCAAAGTTGTACAATGTTACTATGGTAACATTGTACTACTTTGGTCATAGTGAAATATGAAAAAATAAATCTTACTAAAAAAAATAAAATATATATATTTTTTTTTCCCATACTGTCACCAGTCAGTGTCCCTGATCACCACCATGCCAGTTATATGAGGACGCTGTACTGCACTGGTGACAATATGTAAAAAAAAAAATAGTGAAATTATTTTAATTTTTTCATTTTCTGAAAAATTATGACAAGAAAAAAAAAAAAAAAAAAAAAACAACAACACAACTTCAAAAAACTCGCCATGCCTCTTATGAAGTACATCGGACTGTCTACTTTGCAAAAAGGGGTCATTTGGGGGATCTCTGTACTGTTCTGACATTCTTGGACCTCAAGAAATTAGATTGGCTGTCAGTACTTCAGGATTGATCAATATTTAGATCTATACCATAGTTTTTGAACTCTAACCTTCCCACAAACTAAAAAATACATCCTATTTGGGTTATTTTCACCAAAGACATGTAGTAGAATACATCTCGGCCTAAATTTATGAACAACAATTATTTATTTGCAAACTTTTATAACAGAAAGAAAAACGTGTTTTTTTCAACATTTTTGGTCTTTTTTTGTTAATTTAGCAAAAAATAAAAACCCCAGCGGTGATTAAATACCACCAAAAGAAAGCTCTAGTTGTGTAAAGAAAATGATAAAATGTTAGTTTGGGTACAATGTTGTTGTATGACTGCGCAATTGTCATTCAAAGTGTGAGAGCGCTGAAACCTGAAAACTGGCCTGGGCAGGAAGGTGTAAAATTGCCCGGTATTGAATTGGTTAAATACCACCAAAATAAAGCTCTGTCACAAAAAAAATGATAAAGTCTTATATGGGTACAGTGTTGCATGAGCGCGCAATTGTCATTCATGTGCAACAGTGCTGAAAGCTGGAAATTGGCCTGGGCAGGAAGAGGGTATAAGTGCCCTGTAGGCTTGTGGTTAAAGAGAAACTAAGCCTTTTTCACCCAAGGAAGCCGCCATCTTGGCCTCTCTTTGATCTGTAATGTAGGGACAGGTCTTCCGTCTGTCAGGGACAGTATTAGGGTCAGGGAAAAGTTCCAGACAAGAAGGGAGAGCTTAGGGCTCACAATTTCCTTGCACAGCTTTCTATTTTGGTACAAGACGGCCAGGCCGCATTCTATCCCTCCAGACAGATGCCGTCAGTCCGGCTGATGCCTGCTCAACTACATGCTGTTGGAATTAGTAAATGCTCGCAGTTGGGTCCTCTCCCAAGGAGTTTATTGTGAACAGTTTTGCTTTTAATGCAATACAAGTTCTGTCTTTACCACAATAAAAAGGTTTATGGATTTCATATGGACTGTGTGCGAGATATTAACATCACACCCACACTCGCCAGAAGTACACCAAATTGATGTGGGGTCCCTTTTTCAAGAAAAGGTTGCCTCACCCAAGATGGCCACCAGAGGTTATAGCAGCCAGGCAGCTGCTCCCTTTGAGACACCAGAGGTCGTGAGGGGACAACTTCTCCTAACAAAGTCCTCCAATACATCTGTATAATGGCACAGTGTCACCATCTAGACCAAGGAAAATCTGTGCCAGCCTACACATTGGATCTCAGTGCAGTCCAGCAAGCAGAATCCCAGAGCCCCTGTCTGGGCTCATATAACCCGAGCACCTTCAGTCCCAATGTGTCCTGACATACCCTGTATGGGTCCCTGCTCCTCACCTGAGTGATGGCCAGGGGCGGACTGACCATTTGGAAACTCGGGCACTGCCCGAGGGCCCGTGGTCAGTAGGGGGCCCCAGGAGATGCCCCATGTACCTTTTTCATAGGCTTTTTTGAGTTTGGGCAAGGACACAGGGGCCCCATGATCCCCTATTGCCCGGGGGCCCCCATGAGTTGTCAGTCCGCCCCTGGTGATGGCCAAGGGTAAAATGTGGCCAGCATCCAATCAGGATCCTCCTTTCCTACCCATTTTTCCTGCCTGTGTTTACCTTTCTAGAGTCGGGCCCTGCTCCTTGGCTGTTCTGGCTGCCAATAAGGGTCAGATTCAGCCTCTTCTCCCCTGAAGCAGTCCACGAAGACAAGAGAAGATGAAAAGAACCTTTTTTTTTTTTTTTTTTTTTTTTTTTTAATAGCCCAGCTGGAGCCACAATAAGATTGACGTACAAAGCACATAGATTTACAGAAAACCATAGTATCTGTTCACAGAACACAATTTACTCTAAATTGTAAAAAAGCTGATAAAGATTTCTACTGATCTATGTTTCAAATACTGGTCTACTTACAAAGCATTCTGTAAATTTTGATAGAGGAAGGTTAGATAAGGTTTTCATTGTTGTGTCCCTGCTGGAAGATCCACATTCTCTTTTTGTGCTGATTACTATTGTCACAGGGACTGGAAGTGAGAAAATCCAACATGGTTTACTTGTCATAGGAATAGAAGGAACTTTTGACCCTTTTTTCTAATTACATCTTCAAAGAGGAGATTTTCCTGATTTTTGAAAGGCTTCCTTTGATTTCTTTTGGGTCTGTGGGAATGCATGATGGAAATGTAGGATGTCCATATATTGATCAAAATTTGGCCAGTGCAGCAGGGACTGTGTGAATGGTCCTGCTCGACAGAAGCTGATCATCTTCTGTTGAACGGACATGTTTAAACTTTTCCTTAATCAGAAACCAGTCCGGGTGCTGCGGTCAGAAAACAATGTCCTGGGTGGGAAGGTTCCCTAAGCCACAACATTCGTATGGATGAAGATTTTTTTTTTTTTTGTGGCTCAATGGGGGGGGGGGGGGGGAAACCCCCCCCACACACACACACAAAGCCCGAACTTGTATACCCCGATTACTAATGTATGGACAGCTTTAAACCATTGCTACATTGTGCAGGGGGGGGGGGGGTTCTGATCACTGGAGACCCCGGCCACTGCATTGTGTGTGAGAGCAGCAGTCTCCCTACTGTGACGGAACGCGTAGGATGGAGCAGAGTGATTTAATTGCTGAAACCAGAAGTGCGGGCAGGAGCCTATTCCATTACCGTTATGACTTTGTTTACATGTGCTTTACTTCTGTGAACTGGTAAGTGCAGTTACAGTAATATGTTTTTTAAAGTACTGCACTATGGAGGAGCCCGTCCATGCTCGGAGTTGATTTGCAGAGTGCCAGTGGTGAATCCCGATCCCTTAAAAAGGGACATACATATCTAATTGGCAGAGCTTGTGATGCAGTCATGTTGGAGAAGACTGAAGTTAGAAAAATCCACCTTACCATACCCATTGTGTGAGAAGAGAGGGAGAAGGAATGAAAGATTGATCCTTGAGGCTTGGTTCACACTATTGCGGGCCATGTGGCCCGCATTGCCACACAATAAAAAGGTGTTTACACCTTTTTGAAAACACAGCTGCAGGGAAACCGCATGGTCTTTTTGACCATGCAGTTACCCTGCGGTTCCCACACCCACAGCCACACACCCGCAGCCCTGTGCATCTCGAAAGAGCAGCAAGCTTGGACTGCAAGGTGGAGGGAACAGCCAAGTCCACAGGAGTGAACCCAGCATTAAAGGGAAAGCACTGCTAGACCTGATGTTTACTAGGTCAATGCTTGCAGGAGAGAGCATTGTATGAACGGTGGTGGGACTCACTGACCAGCTGCTGAAGGAAAAAGTGATGGATGATTAAATAAACATAAATTTATACATCTTTAAGGAATTACATGGTAATTGAAAGATTAAGGAGAACACACTGGGACATTAACATACTTTATATATCGATTTAATGAACTTTTTTTATAATAATTATTGAAAAAATGTATGAGGCATGGGTTTGAATTTTTTTTTTTTTTTTTTTTTTTTTTTTTTTTTTAAAAGGTGTGCAGATTTGCACAAATTTTTATTTATTTTGTTTTAGTCATTGAGAAGCGCAGCATCATTTTTTATATATATATATATTTTTTTTATTTATCTGTGTATGGTGGGAACAAAATTTGGTGTTTGCAGCAACCTGTACATAGTTAGTAATGATCACATACAGGTGTGTTGGCACATAGTAGGTAGCACAGGTGTCATTAACTCTTTATAAACTGTCAGATGGAATGGTGCTTTTGTCTCTCTCCAATAGTACATACCCTTCCATAGCCTAGAAAGGGCAGCAAAGATCATACATTAACAAATAAGGTCTCTTTCTCAGGTCTGTAGGCAGCTATAGACCTGCCATTAACTGGCAGATCTTGTAGCAGACTAAAGGAAGCCATAGACAGGCAGAGATATGGTGCCTAGGAATGGCAGCCAAGGAGACGTATGTCTATAGCAATTGGACCAGCCACTAACCCCTGACCATAGGTTCACATCTGTGCGAGTGGTGCAGCTGCGGATCCACCTGCACAGAGGAATGCGGACCCACAGGCGGGTGCCATTAGTTCTAATGGCACGCCGCCCGCACTGGAAAACGGAACTGTACTGGGAACCGAGCTTCCCGTGCGGGCTGCATTTTCCAAAAAAAGTGCAGGGACTTCTTTCCTGCGTGTCACAGGCAGGGAAGTCCATTGAAATGGATGGGCTCACGTACCCGTGCAAAACGCAGCCCGCACATGTGAAACGGGGGTGATTCACATACATGCGGCAGTGCGGGCCGTGTTTTTGCAGGCATTCATTTGAATGGACTCCCGAGCCCTGTGACACGCAGGGAAGAAGTCCCTGTACTTCTTCAGAAAACGCAGCCTGCATGGGAACCTCGGTTCCCAGTACGGTTGCGGTTTCCAGTGCAGGCGGCATGCCATTAGAACTAATGGCACCCGCCCGCGGGTCCACATTTCTCTGTGCAGGTGGTGCGGCTGCACAGATTTTCATGCGGATCCGCAGCGGCACCAACCGCATAGATGTGAACCAAGCCTAATTCTCAAGTACAATATAATTTGCCCAATGTCTTGTAGTTAATCCATTATTTCCTCAGGGAGAAGGATGGATAAGCAAGGCTGCACACAGATTTTCCAATTAGCTAGGAAATAGAAGTAAATTCAAAATGTCCTCTTGGTATCAGAAGCAAAACATTTGCTATCGCCCCCTAGAGGGACCCTCCAGGGTCTCAATCCCCTCCTTGGTAAAGTATCAAGTCATCATATCTTTTCTAAAGCTGGCCATACACTAAATTAATTTCCTCATGAACCAGGCAAAAAGTTGTGGGTGGCCCTGCCAACACCCTACTGTGCGACATAGTTTGGGTATTTTACAGCTGCTGTCTGATTGTCGGAATACAATAGCTGACACTGCAGATTCTCATCCATCTGTATATATAGTGTGGATGGATACCTGATTTTCTTCGTTCAACCTCAAGGAGGACCATTAAAAAAAAAAAAAAAAAAAAAAAAAAAAAAAGGGCCCTTGTACACACAGGCTTTGGATTGTAGAACAGCATTGTTCAAAGCATGCATTTATATAACTGCAAATATTTTATCAAACTTCCAGCAGCTTTCTTGAAGTCCCCTGTCCTAAATTTCACCAAACGCACTTTTTTTAGTGCTTTTTGGGCCCTACCATTCATTTAACATGGTTTCCTATGGGACACATTCATATCTATTTTTTGGAAAGGATCAGAGACTTTTTTTTTTTTACTCAAAGTGCTGCATTTTTGGTTCAGTAGACATCAATGGAGATGCTGCAGAAAAACGCATGTAGCATTTTTTTTGGCCCAACTTGTTGCTGGGCAGATTAACATGTTGATGCGTTCACATTTAAAAAAAAAAAAAAAAAAAAACAAAAGCACTACACATCTTTTATGCAGCGTCTCCATTGAAGTCTGTTGAACCAAAAAGACAACGTTTTGCATTTTAAGATGTCCCTAACCCTTTCCAGAAATGCAGCGGCTCAAAAAAGCATAAATGTGAACATGTCCCATAGGAAACCATGTTAAATGGACTGTAGTACTTTTTTTTGCAAAAAGCATTAAAAAACGCATTGGTGTGAATCAGGCCTAAAGCTAGGCTCACACCTATGCAATTTGCGAGTGCTAAATAACCTATGCACACAGAAAGGCGAATGACCCGTTTCTGCTGTGTTCTCCTTTGTTGCTGGGCACTACATGCTTTTCTGCAGCATTTCCATTGAAGTCTATAGAACCAAAAATGCAACTTTTTGCATGCAAAAAAGTCCCTGACCCTTTCCAAAAAATGCTCTGGGTGAAAACTGAGATGTGAACGTGTCCCATAGGAAATCATGTTAAATGGATTGTAGTGCGTTTCTGCAAAATGCTTTAGGTGTGAACCTAGGGTTAGACCCAAATCATAATGAGCTGGCTGTCAGATTAAAACAAGCTCCTAGCAGGTAAAAACTAAGGCCTGGTTCATACTAATTCAGTTTTGGAGGGATGGAAGGAGCAGGGGTGGACTGACAACTCATGGGGCCCCGGGCAATAGGGGATCATGGGGCCCCTGTGTCCTTGCCCAAACTCAAAAAAGCCTATGAAAAAAGGTACCAGGGGCATCTCATGGGGCCCCCTACTGACCCCGGGCCCTTGGGCAGTGCCCGAGTTTCAAGCCCAAATGGTCAGTCCGCCCCTGGGTAGGAGGGAACAGGCCACTGAAATGGTGGAGTGTAATACCTCTCACTTACAGAAAGCTGATCTGGATTTATTTAAAGACCTGACAGGGTCTCTTTACACTTCCTGGAAGTTGTGAAAATGCTTTATATAAAAGCTTTCTGTACACACTGCATTTTCTGCCTGCAATGAGAATTGTTCTATACCAGGGGCCGACTGACAACGCATGGGGCCCCCCAGCAATAGGGCCCCTGTGTCCTCGCCCACACAACCCAAAAAAAGCCTATGAAAAAAAAAAAAAGAAAAAAAAAAAAAAAAAAAAAAGTGTACCAGGGGCATCTCATGGGGCCCCCTACTGATCCCGAGCCCTCGGGCAGTGCCCGAGTGCTTGAATGGTCAG